TCTTTGATTATTTTTCTACTTCTTTCTTTCCTCCTCTTCTGGGACTCCTATTATGTGTTGTGTATGTTGGTGTGTTTAATGCTCTCCCATGTTTCTTTAGGGTTCTCTTCATTTTTTTTTTCTCTCTGTTCTTCAGATTGCATAGTGTCTATTGATCTATCTTCAGGTTTGCTGGTTCTTTCTTCTACTCAAATCACCTGTTGAGCCCCTTCAGTGAATTTTTCATTTTGGTTATTGTACTTTTTAACTCTAGAATTCTCATTTGGTTCTTTTTTTGTGATTTCTCTTTATTGATATTCTCTATTTGAGATATTGTCATCATACCTTCCTTTAATTCTTTAAGCATGGTTTCCTTTAGTTCTTTGAACATATTTCTAATAGCTACTTTCAAGTCTTTGCTAAATTCAATATCTAGGTCTTTTCAAAGGCAGTTACCATTGCCTACTGTTTTTCCCATATATGGATCATGCTGTCTTATTTCTTTGCATGTTTTATACATTTTTGTTGAAAACTGAACATTTTAGATAATGTATTATAGCAACTGTAGATACTCATCTTTCTCCTTTCTGCCTCTGGGGCATGGTTTGCTTGTTTATTTCAATCATGACTTGACTGAATTAGTTCAGTGAAGTCTTTTTCTGCAGTGTACAGCCTCTGATGTCATTCCTTAGAGGGCACAGTCTTACTCTGACCTCTCTCTCTCCACCCAGGGATGGCAGTGGTTGCAGCTAGGCTCTCTTTGGCTCTTTCACTGATCCCCCTGTCACGTTTCTGATTAATCTTCTGGATTGGCATCATACGACTGGTATTACACCCAGTTGTTAGTCTCCCTTGTTAGCTGAATGCTCTATTGTTTTTGATGATGCCCTGAGGCATAAATTGTCACAGTTTGATATAATTAAAACTTTGCAGGAGTAGTTCTTAAACCCAATCCCTGAGGCTTGCTCTGACCTCAGAAAGGCTCCCCTTTGCTGTCTCTTTTCCTAGCTCTCTCTGTTAAATTTCTAGCTGGTCTACCCTTCAGTTAATCTTATCATGGAGTTACTAGCCTTTTCTTAATTGCCTACCACCAAAATTTCCATTTTATTTTTATTTTTTACAATGATTATGAGCTTGAACTTCCCCATGCTTTTTTGTTCCAAATAAAGCCAGCGTGCTTATAAAGATCTGCAGAGCTCTATGTTTTTATAGCCTGCCTCTCCCCTGAGCAGAACTCTGCACCACCACTCTGGAGCTGGCAGTGAAGACAGCAGCCTGCTTCTCTTAATGTGACACCCTACTCTGTGAGGAGGTGCTGGGCAGGAGTGGCAGCCTTTGGTCTTCTCAGCTTGCCTCTCTTGTCATGGAACCTTTACTCTATGAGTGAGCTAAAACAAAGACAATCAGGGTTCAGCATTCTTGACCCATTTCACCTAGGGTAGAGCTTCTGCCCTACAGATGTGGTCTGGGCAGAGAAAGGGAGCCTTGGTCCTCTTGACCATACTTGCCTGAAATAAAGATTCTGTGACACCAGACTGTGGTAGATGATAATGCTGGTGGCCTGATCCTCCCAGGGAAAAACTGTCACCCTGGGTTGGGCACAAGAGGGAGCTCCATCTTTTTGGCCATACCTACCGAGAGTCAGTCTGGGCTGGGAGTGGGGGAGGAGGAGGTTATGGTTCAAATGCTACAGAATCTCACTGTTCTTACCAATATTTAGCAGATTTTCTGGAATAAAATGTTTCTTCATTTGTTGTATATACTTAGGATGACCTGTAGAGACCTGAAATCGCTTTTAAAAAAGTAATTTTCACCAGTTCTAGTTGTTTTCTGGGGATAGGATCGGAAGAGCTCCTCACACCTTCAGTCTGACTTTAACTTTTTGAAAATTACAAACTATATTTCTTTTTTCCCTCCTTTTTTATTTTTAAAATTTATTTTATTTTAAAGATGTGGGGTACAATTCAGAATCAAGTGGTCATCGTACAGGTAAAGTTTGACCTCTCTTTGGTCCCCACTTTGCCTGGTTTGAGATCAGGTACCCTTATTAATGTTATGTGCTCCCCGCCCCCCGGCAGTTTCCAGCTACTGCCAATCTCTTTCTTATAGTATTATGATAATTGTTCAGGGTCCACTTATGAGTGAGAACATGTGGTACTCAGTTCTTTGTTTCTGTGATAATTACTGAGTATTATCAACTCTAAATCCATCCAAGTTGCTGTGAAGTTCATTATTTTGTTGTTCTGTATGGCTGCATAATATTTCATCGTGTGTATGTACCACATTTTTTTAATCCAGTTCAGTTCTGATGGGCAGCATGGTTGGTTCCATGTTCTCACTATTGTAAGTAGTGCTGCAGTAAACATGCATGTGCAGGTATCTTTTTTGTAGAATGATTTAAGTTCCTCCTGGTATATTCCCAGAAGGGGGGTTGCTGGGACATATGGAAGGTTAGTTTCTACTTATTTTAGGAATCGCCACCCTGTTTTCCATAGAGGTTGAACTAGTTTGCATTCCCACCAACAGTGTAGAAGTATTCCCTTTTCTCCGCATCCTCACCAGCATCTGTTGTTTTTGTTTTTTGTTTTTTAACAAACTATTTCTTCAAAGACATTTTACCTTCCAGACTTCATTGATCTACACAGCCCTTTTCTCCCTCCCAGTCTGAAATAGGAAGGTTTTTACCATAAACTTGATCAATTTCAGTAGAAGGAAAAAACAGTTTAAATTTTGAATGTATAAATGACAATTTACTTTAGCAACATGCCTTTCCTTGGGCATGGATGAGGGAGAAATTTGTGTGTAATGTACCAAAACTGGCTAGGTGCAGTGACTCTTGCCTGCATTCCCAGAACTTTGGGAGGCCAAAGCAGGAGGATTGCTTGAGCCCCAGAGTTCGAGACCACCATGAGCAACATAGTGAGATCTTGTCTCTACAAAAAAAAAAAAAAAAATTAGCCAGTTATGGTGGCACGTGCCTGTAGTTACAACTCAGGAGACTGAGGCAAGAGGATTGCTTGAGCTTAGGAGATTGAGGCTGTGGTGAGCCATGATTATACCACTACACTTTAGCCTGGGTGACAGACCCCCAAAACATAAAATCTACCAAAATCTTAATGCTGGGTGATTTGAGTCTCTTTGAGAGCTTGAAAGTGTTACAGAGAGGGAAGTTTCTTTGTTTCTGCCATGTGAACAATTCCTAGTGATTGCGACGAGGTAGATATGAACCTTCTTCCCCAGTTATCACACACACACCTGAATTTTTGCTCCTTCTGCTTTACTTGGCATTTGTGTTTTGAGGGGTTTAATGCCAATAACTGATGCCTACAAGGACGGTCTCCAGCTGCTGTTTTGCAGCAGGGTAAGTATTCTCAGAAAATTCTATTTTCAAGGATAATGGGATATAAGAAAGCTTAGTCTAAGACAAGTGTTGACTCACCACTTGTTTGTGTATGGCCTAGGAGCTAAGAATGATTTTTACATTTTTAAGTGGTTGGAAAATATCAAAATAAAATGATGACTTCAGATATGTAAAAATATGAAATTCAAATTAATGCCTATAGATAAAGTTTTATTGGCACACAGCTGTGCTCATGTGTTTATGTGTTGTCTATGGTTGCTTTTGTTTTACAACAGCAGCATGGTATATTTGCAACAGAGACCATGTGGTCTGAAAAGTCAAAAGTATTGACCATTTGGCCCTTTACAGAAAAAGTTTGTGGACCTAGTCTAAATAAAATATATTTTGGTGGAGCAGCACTAAATACAAAATGTCTTAGGGTCCAAAACGTGTCACAACAGGGCTATAGATGCCCAACAAGATATAAAAGAATGAGTTTCAGGACAATTACTGATATTTTAGGCTATGATATATATATATGCTACTTGTCTTTGTGTAAGCAAGTCTCATTCAGAGAAAAACTTCAAAATACATTTCATATATATATTTGAAACTAATTCCCCAATGTTGTATGCTTTCCCAAGCATTCCGTTTGATCTGAAATCGTGGCATTTTGACAGTTTTCTCTGTAATTAATGAATCTCTTTTTAATTTAGAAAAAGGTTTATCCCTTATTTGACTTAATATTCTTAGAGAAAGTGTACTTTCCAAGGTGATGTCTGCATTGTGTCAAAATATCTAGATGACCCCAATAGTTCAGTTTAAAAAATTAAACAGAAGAAGTCAGATAAATTATTTCTGGCATCATATAAACTCTTTAAAATGTAGTGGTGATATAGGAATTGAAAAGTCTCAAGTTTTATGCTAGTTATTTTTTATGATAGTATAGACAAAAGGTTGACCATATGATATACAAATGTCATGTAAGAATGTATTTTATTCCTCCAAAAGTGCTGAAAATTGAGCATTGAGGTAATGTTCTTTAAAAGTAATGTTTGTACTTTACAAAGGATCATGACTCATAGTCCAACTGCAATTATTCTGTAGAAAAATATACTGTTTTACCTGAATATTGTTTGATGGTACAAAAAATTTTAACAGATCCTTTTTTCCAAAAGATCCCGAAGAATAATTATATTTATTAATATATGCTTCCTACAAAACAATTTTATTCAGCGAAGTTTATGATAGTTTACCCATAGTTATATTATCAAATAATATGCCTTTTTCACATATGCTGAAAGAAAGAAAAACAGTATGCCACATTGCATTCCTTGGTTATCAGTGGGTTCAAATTCCTTCTAGTTTTGGGGGCATGTAATGAAACAATGTGATTTCTGAGACCTAAAACCCTAAAATTTCTACCAATGAAATTCAGAGACACATATGGGTAAGTTCAGCAGTTGAAAGCAAATTTTTGTCATATATCTATATGGTAAAGTTTTTGAAATGGAGTGGTTTCCTGTTTTGTACCTAATAGATCTAGTCATATCTCACCCATTGTCTTCCTATTCAGGCATTTTCTCCTTCCCTGTCCCAACAGGTCCTACCTGCCCAAAGCCACAGTTATGCTTCCATATCAGTTACTTTCTGGAATGTCTTTGCTTTTTTTTTTTTCCAGGCATCTAGTGGAAATTATTATTTCATCCCCTACATCATGACGCCATGTGCTGATTATTTTTGCTGTGAGAGTGACGCTCAGAGGCGAGCCTCAGAGTACATGCAGCCCAACTGGGACACCATCCTGGGTCCACTGTGCGTGCCTCTGGTGGACAGGTTCATTAGCCTCCTCAAGGACATCCACGTGACCTCATGGTAATTCCCATCAGCCACCAATGACCCCAGGAGCCTTGTAAGATTTCCCTTCACTTTCAGGGAAGGGGGTATATCTTCAAATGACCAGAGTGACCAGAGAATGAGGAACTCCAACCAGTCATTTAAAAATCATCCTGGAATCCATTATTGCTACCCCTTACTACCTCACTAAGCTAGGCCAGTGAAGTGATGCCAAAAGAGAACAGAACTGGGGTTAAGAGGTCAAGATTGGGCCTATGTCTAGCCCTGACTCCCTGTGTGACATTGACATATAACTTCTCTTCTCTGTGACTGTTTTCTAGAAAATAAGGAAGTTATTAGTGATCTTTTAAATGATCTCTTTCAACTATGATGTTCTGTGTTTCAAGACCATTTCTGAATATAACTTTACATAAATGCCTCAGCAAGGTCATTCTGACCTCAAGTTCATGTGCTATAAAAACTTGCTTGTGTTGAGTTCGGCTGTAGCCCTCCTGACCTCAGGATGTACTGTGACGTGTTCTCTCTAGATTTACGTCAGAGGTAATGAATACTCAGAGGAGGACAGGGTTGGATTTGAATCTTGGCTTAGGTGATTTCTAGCTGTGTGGCCTTGAAAAGTCAGCTCACCTTTGTGCTCAAGAAAGTTAAAGACAGAAAAATTATTCTTAACCAAACAATCCAGTTATTTTACTTGCAGCCAATGTAAAGAATTTATTCCTATAAGTTTTGTCACAAGGAGAAGGATTTGTTCTTTCAAAACAAATGAAACTCCAAAACACTGGCAGAACTGACTTGCTATGAAATGTAAAGGACCTCATGTCACACTTTGGCTCAAGTCATGGCACCCTGAGCTGTGGAGTGTTACCATTGTGGTATTGGTCTGAGCCACACACTTATGAATGGTCTCCTTTTCTTTTCTATCCCATCATGTCCTTTGTGGATGCAGACTTTCTTTTACAGACTTTAATGGGAAAAGAAGACTGGAAACCTAGGCGTGACCACATGCCGACATAGAAAGCAAATGGGGGACATTTTGTGGCATGTTCCTGGAAAACCTCATTCAGTCATGCCTTGATAATTATTGTCTCATTGCAAAACAAACACTTTAGTGAAGTTTTATGGAAAGCTTTCCCAATACTGTATTTTCAGGTCTGACAAGGAGGTGGGTTAGCTTGGATTTGCTGGATGATTCAGTTCTTTGCAAGAAATAGACTCAAGTTTGTTCCTCATTCAGTGTATGTATGTATCAGTAGGAAAACAACTCTTTTGATTTGGTTTAGTTTCAAAGGGCTTGAAATATCTATTGGTGGATTCCATCCCATGAACTGATAGGTGTTTGGCGATGATTAGAGAGAGGGAAACGGCGCTTATGTTTTAACACATCTATAATAGAGATGGCGAGTAAGATTTTAGCTCAAGTGCCAACTCTAATGGATTTATAAAGTATTTGTTGAATCCTGTGATGAAAAGGGCTTTGGAGCCATTCCCAAATTAACATTGATTAGTAACATCTTCCCTGGTTACCAGAGGCAGAAATGGCTGCATGTTTATTACATATCTGATGTCCCCAAACCATACTTAAGTCAGTATTTTATTCACTTAAAAGTTACTGTTCTTACTAGATTTTTTAACATATTAAAACTATTTTTCAGAATTACCCTTGAAAAATAAGACTAAAGTGTAAGTTTTTATTCATCAGGCTAAACTAATAACACTTTAATAGCTTTGATGCCTTCATAGTTTATCAAATGGTCAATGTCTGTCACCCAACTTAATGACTCATTCAATTAATGACAGAATTTTAAACACTGGCAGAATCGGCTAATTTGTTCATCAGGGTGATAGCAATTGACAAATAAGGGAATAAAAAACTAATGCTATGCACTGATATTTTTATATCAGAACCCCTTCTGTGGGCACCACTTTATTCTTTAAATGTTAATTGAGGTCTTGTTGTGAGCATTGAGCCAGACTGTGTACTGTGTGTGCACTTACTTAGCTAAGTTTCATAATTATTAAAAGTAAGTACCATTTGTTCTTATCCTGTCTCCTGTGTTGTTTTTCTCTCTCTGGAGACTATTATTTAATTTAGCTTACTCTCTTTTTAATGAATAGCCTGATTTTGAAAACTCTCTCCAGTTAGATAATTTCAAGCTTCTTAATGGTTTGACAGTATTACTGCTTGGCAATGTCCAGTCTTGATTTAAAAATTCCTTGGAAACAGTCAAGATATTTAAGTCAATCTATGGCCAACCTCTATATACCAAATTAGGTCATTTTTCAAGGTTTTAAACTAAGTACCAGATGATAGCATTGGCTCTTTGAGAGGCTATGGTGACATTCCAATGTAGGTTTAAACTGCTATAAGTGTTTTCAAGCATCCACATTATTATCCAGATGCCCCTTGAAGGAAGTTTTATATTTTATGTTAGAAAAACATTCCAGCAGTTGAATATGACAAGGAGAGTAAGGTTGTCTGGAAGCTTCCAGACATGGCCTCTGTGTGTTCTTTCTTGGATTGCTCTGGGACACAACACCAGTTTCCAGCCTCCCTCAACTGGGGAAATCTTCATGACTACTAAGTGGAGACACTCGTGTTTTGTGGATTTTGAAGTTTTGTTTGGCTTTGTGATAATCTGTTATAAGTGTGGAAAAGAAATATTCAAGTAAGATTACTTCTCACTCTCTATGGGTTTGAAATGCCAGAGGAAGTGGGGTGGGTTGGGCAGCAAGTCCTGTGTGTCTTCTAAACACAGAGGAGGATCAGCTTTGAAAATATTGTCAAGATTATAATGAACTTATTTTTATTTATCATTTACTGGTTAGTTTCTATGAAATGTGAGTAGCAAGTAGAAAGTGTTGCCCATTTGCTGGGGTAGGGAGGTTCAGGTCTGGGCCAAGGTCCTCCTGTGTTAGCCTAAGTCACATCAGTGACAACATGTTTGAGCACTAAAGAAGACAGTCATGGGGACATATAGATGTGACTGAAAGTTTTCATGTTTCTCTCTCCAGTGCTTTTTACAAAGAAACCTTGTTAAATGACATCCGGAAAGCCAGAGAGAAATACCAGGGTGAGGAACTGGCAAAGGAACTGGCTCGGATCAAACTCCGCATGGATAATACTGAAGTGCTGACCCCAGACATTATCATTAATTTACTCCTGTCCTATCGTGATATCCAGGTATGAAATACAACTAGCTAAGTCTAGCATATGCTGAGTTCTTGCTTGGTGTGAAGAACTTATATGAAGTACTCTTACACCCAGTATGTGGTAAAGTGACTGTTGTATAGACTAATAGGTATGTGGCTAGGTCATAGGTCATCCAGCTGATCTTTTGTGGTGGACATTTTGGAGAAGGTTCTGTCATACTGGAGCTGGTGTGACCACTTTGATAAGAGATCCCATATACAGGACTGCTTATTATAAGGAGCTAAGAAGTTTGCAGTTTACATGAACTTTATGCTAGGCATTGTTCCAAGCCTTTTGCAAATCTGAATTCATTTAATCCCCTTAACAACCCTATGGGCTGGGCTCGGTGGCTCAACCTGTAATCCCAGCACTTTGGGAGGCCGAGGCAAGTGGATTGCCTGAGCCCATGTGTTTGAGACCAGCCTGGGCAATTTGGTGAGACCTCGTCTCTACAATAAATCAAAAATTAGCTGGGCGTAGTAGCATGCACCTGTAGTTCCGGATACTTGGAAGGCTGAGGCAGAAGGATCGCCAGAGTCCAGCAGGTCGACGCTCAGGTTGCCATGAGTGTGCCCCTGCACTCCAGCCTAGGCAACAGAGTGAGACTCAAAAAACAAACAAACAAACAAACAAACAAACAAACAAAAAAACCCTATGAAGTTTGTATATTCTGATTATCCTCATTTTACAAATGAGGAAACTGAAGCACAGAGAAGTTAAGTTGTTGAAGGTCACACAATAGTTGATGAGTTCAGGACTCCAACTAAGACTATCTGGCTCTATTGTTTTTGTTCTTGTTTCCTCTACTCTGCTACTTCCTGTAGACCTTTGTCATTTCCTTCTTTGTTTACCACCACTCATCAGTGACAGAACAGGAGTAGAGGAGACACACACAGGACTCAGGAAATGCAGATGTTTATTCTAAGACAGGCATCAGAAGCTACTGGAGGGTTCTTGAGGCAAGGCTTTTGGGACATGGTACCAGGAAGGAAATTGGGTGTTTCTTGCCTCCAAGTTGAATGTCGCTGAGCCATTTCTTCCCTTTTTTGTTTTTTTTGAGTTGGGGTCTCTTTGTTTTTTTTTTTTTTGAGTTGGAGTCTCATTCTGTCGCCCAGGCTGAAGTGCAGTGGCATGCACACTCATGGTTACCCCAGCATCGACCTGCTGGGCTCTGGCGATCTTTCTGCCTCAGCCTTCCAAGTAACCGGAACTACAGGTGCCCACTACCACACCTGGCTAATTTTTTTTTCACTCTGTTACCCAGACTGGAGTGCAGTGGCACACTCATGGCCACCCCAGCATCGACTTGCTAGACTCTGGCGATCCTTCCGCCTCAGCCTTCCAAGTAGCCAGAACTACAGGTGCGCACTACCACACCTGGCTAATTATTGATTTATTATAGAGACAAGGTCTCACCAAACTGCCTGGGTTGGTCTCGAACCCACGAGCTCAGGCAATCCACTCGCCTCGGCCTCCCAAAGTGCTGGGATTACAGGCTGAGCCACTGAGCCTGGCCCACTGAGCCATTTCTAAGGATGTTTTGCCTCCCTTCCCTTTGGAGGAACACAGGGTCATGTACCTTACTTGTGGAATTCTACAAAGCCATGTGGGAGTTTGTTAGCCACAGGTCTTTAAACCTGAAAGACAGAGGCATCCATTTATGACCTGGACCAAGAACAGAACCAGCCACTAAGGAACTCATGCTCCTAGTGACAAGTAGATCCAGCTAGCTGATTTTAATAGCAGGGGCTATTAGGGATTACAATAATGATTAGATCAGGCCCCCACAGGACAAGCAAATGGAAATGACTATTCTTAAACTTTCTTCCCTTGAGCTGCTGTTGTCCTTCTGTTCTTGCCTTCGTGTATCCTTTCTTTTCATAATGTTTCACTGGTGAGACTCTTAGGCTCAAAGCTGAGCCAGGAAGTTCCTGGAATACAACTGCCTTCTCTTTCTTAGGGGGCAGCAGCATCAAGGTGCAGAGCCACAAGACAGACATGGGATTTCATTGGGAAGCCCTCCTCTGCTGATGATGGCAGGCTGTCAGCGAGTTGGCCAGTACCAATGATTCCATGCCTGGCTGAAAGGGTAACAGGTGGCACTGCTAAGAGGGGACTTAGCAGAGACAAACATGGTAACAGTTTTCCCCTGGGTAATTATGCCAAGTTTAGAGCAGTGGTTCTCAACCCAGGGATATTTGGCAGTGTCTGGAGACATTTTTGATTGTCAAAACTAAGTGTGTGGGAAGACTGGGGTGGGGAGTGCTGCTGGCTTCTGTTGGGTTGAAGCCAGCATCCTACTGCCCGGGACAGCCCTCACATCAGAGAACTACCTGGCCCCAAAATATAAGTAATGCTAAGGTTGAGAAATTCTGGATTAGATTGTTTGATTCTGGCAAAATAGGAAGGACTGGGATGTTTTCTCCCTTTATGCGGGAAATTGACTGTCAGTTTTCTTGCACGTATATGTACAGTTTATTTTAACACATAACTCTCCTACACTCAAAGCAAGGTAACTTTTTCCTGGCTTTTAGGCTCATTTACATTCTTTTGTTGCCTTTGGATTTAATTCTTTTCCCTTGATCACTTTGTGCCCTATGATAAGAGGGATTCCTTCTCTGTTCCTCCCCCTCATCTGTCTTGCTTTCTGATCTTTTTCCTGTTCTGTTAAAGGCTGCAAGTGACTTCGCTAAATGCCCTCTGTAAGGAAAGGCCTATCTTTAAGTGCTGAGGCTGTTTCGTGTTTATAACTATTCAGAAAAAGTCTGTGAGGAGCTATGTTTCCTCTCTTTCTCACCTTGGAACCTCTTGCCAACAGGACTATGATGCGATGGTGAAGCTGGTAGAAACATTGGAGATGCTGCCTACATGTGATTTGGCTGATCAGCATAATATTAAATTCCACTATGCGTTTGCACTGAATAGGTAAGAATGATAATGTATGTAACGGTTTTTGAAATGTGCCACCTGATGAATTCTGCTTCCTTCTTTTGTTCAACACTCAGCATGTATGAGCCAGGTCACATACTAAATGCCAAGGTTATGAAGATGGACAAGGCATGGTGTTTGTCCTCAGGGACTTTGTCTTTGGAACATATATATTCTAGTTATAAGATGAGACACATAAATAAACCCCAATAGCTCAGGGTGATAAATGGCTTCATGATGGTTTGTCTAAAGTGCTACTCAAGTACAGCCTAGGGAGGGAGTCATTCTGCTTGGGGGTTTTAGAGAAGCTTCTCTAGGCTTTTTGGGACTGGATTTTGAAGAATTCATAAGACTTACCTTATGGACAGGAGAAAGTAGGGGATTGGGGGATGATGAAAAAGACCATTCCGTTTGGTCAGACCAGAAAGGTGAGCATAGAGTTTTTCACATGTAAGGTGCATTTGGGAAACATCCATTGTGACTAGAACATAAAATTCAGGTGAAGCAAATACAGGAGATGTAGGCTAAGCATGGAGGATGGGACCATGTCTCAAAACAACCTGTAAATGTGAATAAGGAATTGTAGCCTATAGAGGACTAGCTTAAGCAACAAGATTAACGTATGATTTTTTTTTTTAAGAGGGTGCTGTGTTTATGTACTAGTATAATCTGAACTTGGGAATTGCTGGGCTAAGTAGAGTATATGAAATTTGGAAATGCCTGCCTGGAGACCACAAACCTCAAAAGCGTAAGTGCTACGGGTATTAACTAAGATGCTGTAATAAAGAGGCCGTGAATGCAATGATTTAAATAAGGTTGAAATTTCTCTTTCATATAGCAGTCTAGAGGGGAGTGGACCAGGCTAGTGGCACAGCACTGCTCCAGGAGTTGTTCAGGGACTTGGCATCTAACTCTTATGTAGCTCTTTCATCCGTCTATATAGTTGAAGCTAAGTCACTGCCACTCCGGGTTCCAGTCTGTGGAATGCAAGAAAGAGAGGAGACACAGGGCAAGTGATTTCCTTTAAAGCAAGTCGAATTGACATATACCACTTCTACTCACATTCCATTGATGAGAACATGGTCACATAACTCCAACTAGCTACAAGGGAAGCTGGGAAATGTAGTCTCTTGCTAGTTGCCCATGTGCCCATCCAAATTTAACTGCTATGGATTTGAAGGCTAACAAGGAGTTTGCCACATTCAACCTCACAAAATAACAGGTCTCTAAACGTCTTAATTCTATTGTGTCCCTTCCTCCATTGATAATATTTAGGAGGAGGAGCAGCATTCTCATGCATATCATGAGAACCATGCCCAGATACACTCCCTGGGGCCTCCAGGTACACCGTTGGGACTGTCCTCTGTCTGAGCCAGGAATGCATCGTATCAAATCTTATAGCAGAGTACCCTGGGAAGGTATTCAAACTTGACTTGAGAGCCAGAGAGGTCTGGCATCTCCTCATCAACCTTCCATGGTGCATGTCTTCTGTAGTGAATGGACAGAGGGAAAATTAGAGGTAAGCTGAGTTAGAGGACTCTTATGTCTGACTTCTCAGTTTCAGAGGCTCTGCTTTGCCTTAACAACTGGATTAGGCTACAGATTGTTGACCTGCCTTTAGTAGCACATGTAGGACAGCTGCAAAACAGGCATCCATGGCTTTGAAAGTCTCATAACACATGTGAGGTCATATCTCTCCCTTTTAAATAGAGGTAAAATTTGTAGTAGGTGAAATGCACAGATCAGCAGTATATAACTCGAGTTTAATGAATGGCTATGTACACGTAAACAATATCCCTTCCAAAAAGAAAATATTTCCATCACTCCAGAAGTTCCCTTGTGCTCCTTTGCAAGCAACCCTCACTTCTCTGTCTCCATAGATTGGTTTTGCTTATCCCTGAACTTCACGTACATGAAATCATATAGTATACAGCCTTTTATGTCTAGCTTCTTTCATTCAGTGTCAGGCTCATGAGGTGCATCTGTGCCATTGTGTGTATTCCTAGTTCATTCTCATTACTGTATTCTTTTGTATGAATATGCCACAATTTATTTATTTTACTGCTGTTGGACCTTTTAGGTTGTTTCCAGTTTGAAGAGTGCTGCTAGAAACATTCTCGTGCATGCATGTGTTTTTGTATACATTTCTGTTGGATATATAGTGTGTGCATGTAATAGACATCAGCAAACAATGATAGGATTGTGATTCCTTTTTGGGAGGAAGCTTTATGGTCTCTATGAAAAGTGTACCCATTCTCTCCCCAGTGGCCTTTAAACCCAGCACCCGAAGGTGGGGAGCATCTTTGCGAGTGAAGGCCAATCTTCATAAACCTGAAAAAACAAAGTCTTGTAACTTTGCTCCCCAGCATAGCAGACTCCATTTTTATTTATGCTTACCTGTACTCGATTGTTCCTTAATTTATAAGGATTAAGTGAGTTATCAGTTCTAAGGTTCTTGGGAAAATGCCTAGCAAACTGTAAGTGCTGTAAAAAATGGTTAAATAAAAACTAAGAAGGTCATTTAAGTCATTTATCACTATGTCTTTTTCCCAGACATAGTAGAAGTAACTGTTGTCAAACAGAGAATGAAATAATCGATTACCATTTTCTCAAAGTAATAGAAGACGAAAACAAGGTTTGTGTTGGAAAATTGATATCTAAGATAAATGAGTTTGGCAGGATGAGGTGATCCTGAGACAAACATGTTTCCAGTTTGGAAGCAGAGTGGCTGGGATTGCACTTCAGAAAGCCACCTCCCTCTTCATTGGGTCTTTTCCTTCTAGTCTGATTGTCTTCTATTAGGCTGTGGCTCTGTAGTATAGGTCAAACAGGGCCCTCAATGCTGAGAACCTCATTTTCTCCAGTTAACTAGGAATTTTCTGTAAAATTACAGTACTATTTGCTTCATTTATACATGCAATCTGATCCTGAATTTCACATTTTTGCTTTAGGCTTAACTTGGCCAGCTGTCACATAGTCATAGTAGGATTTTGCATTACAGATTGAGCAGCTATAATTTGAAAATCCAAAATCCAAAGTGCTCCAAAATCCAAAATATTTTGAGCGCCAACATAATGCTCAAAGGAAATGCTCATTGGAGCCTTTCAGATTTTAGATTAGCCATGCTCAACTGGTAAGTACAATGCAAATATTCTAAAATTTGAAATATCAAAAATCCGAAACACTTCTAGTCCCAGGCATTTTGTATAAGGGATACTCAACTGGTATGTACAGTTTTGAAGGCGTTTATAGCAGTACCTTGTATCTGTAGAGGGGAAAATAGTGATGGACAAGAAATGAATTTTCCTATGTTACAGTTGACCTTTGACTCTTAGGAAATGGAGCAAATCATGGTTATAAATTAGTTACTAAAGGTTGGCAGTAATGGATGACTTTTGATCCTCAGATGACAAGGGTTCCCTGTTAATGAGAAAGCTGGTTTGAGCCGGTCAGCTTTTCCTGATATCTTTTTCACAGCATTCAGAAGCCTATTCAAAGTCACTTCAAGTTTCCACTGAGCAGTTAAACTGCTTACCTCACAATGGCATGCAATCCTATATGAGTGATTTTTGTTTGCTGTTGCTTTTATAGACAAGACTTTATTAGATACACTGATGAATTCAGAATATTCTGACCAGGGATCCAGCCAGTGGGCAGAAGCATGGAATAGAAGTATCAAAATCAAAGTCTTAAGTTAAAAACAAAACTTACCTATCATGAAATAGAAGACATGTACTTATTTTGGGTCAAGACTAGCAACCCTGGAAAAATTTACCTCATTGAATTCCTCAGCAGGGGGAGGGGGCTTAGACAATTGTATACATGACATTTATTGGAATGTCTGATGTGTCACTATAAATAAGGGAAGCGATAGAGAAAGGTTGCTCTGTGGAAACCTAGAGGCTATGAGACGAATGTGACTGAATCCAGCCTACACCAGAGTGCTTGTAAATGTGTTATAGAACCTATAGAGTCTCAATCTCTGAGCTCCTCAGACAGGTTATTGCTCAAGTGGAGGGTCATATGTCCCTAGGAGGGCAGTGTGGCTCATCATCTCTGCAGTAGCCATCATCCTCTTTTTGTGTCTTCTGTTTGTGTTCACTATTGAATCTCACCATCTTAATGTATGTGTTTATATAAGTAGTATTATTTATTAAGTGTTTGTCAAAAGTAGAAAAAGGATGACGCCTTCCACCTTTATAATGCGTTGTCTCCAGGTAGCTAAAAGTACATTGCAGATGAAGGATATGTATTTGCTGTTTTCCTAAGTAATGAAGAGAACCACAAAATTTACCAACTTAGGAAGGGATTATCTAGTCTAAACCCTTTGCTTTAGAGAGGAGGAAGGAAGGGAGGGAGGAAGGAGGGAAGGAAGGAGGGGAGTTAGGAAGTTAGTTAAGGGCCCAGAATGTAGCAGTTGGTCAGTAAGGGATTTGGGACCAAAACTCCCTAATTTTAGCACACCATTGCATACACTAGTTTTTAAAGCTGATGTTAATAATACCACAGCATAATCAATTAAACTCTTTTGAGCAGGCTTTAGCTTATATGTACTTTGTCTGAAGGGCAACCAAAACAAGCCATAGGGCTCCACTTGAAATTGTCCCTTTATATGTCCTGTTTTTATCATATGTGATGAGAGTATTAGATGGTAGCTAGATATTGAAGCTACTTTCATAATGTAAACTTTTGTTTTGGTTTGTTTTTTATTGTAAAAAACACATACCATCTCAACCACTTTTAAGCATACAGTTCAGTACTGTTAAATATGTCCTTATTATGGTGAAACAGAGCTCTAGAACTTTTTCATTTTGTGGATCTGAAACAACAGCTCCTCATTCCCCCAGCCTCCAGCCCCTGGCATCCACCATTCTGTTTTCTGTCTTTATGCATTTGACTATTCCAGGTACCTTATATTAGTGGAATCATACAGCGTTTGTCTTTTTTGTGACTGCCTTATTTTATTTAACCTAACGGTTCATTCATATTGCAGCATG